ACGTCATTGTCTTATGATATATCAACAAGATCGGACTAATGTGAGCGTGCTCCTACTGCTGTCATCAATCCATTTTCAACTCAAAAATCTTGAAAAGTAAGTTGATCGGTGAGCTTTATACTAATTTGACTTTTCGTCGTCTTTACGGAATTCTTTTTACACGATCTTTCACATCTATTGTGCCGGTCTCAGCACATCTCTCATTCGATTGGTTTCCTCGCATCCATCACCGACGGAGGTCCTCCAATTTCTTACATGTACCGTCGGCCGGTACTTGAGGATTTTCTTTTCATTATGAATGTCTTTGAATGCTGGTCGAGTTAATTCCCCCTGGAGTACGGAGATAGTCGGACTATAGCGGTTCCATTTGGATGGCAGACAGTGAACCTTTTCCAGACAATTCTAGTATCAATTTCTCGATCCCGCAGGGAAGAGAGATTTGGTGAGTTCAGGGCGGAATCGAACGAGCACTGTGCTCGTGATGATCGGTGTCGTTACCACCATGCTACTCGCCTTTTGTTATTAAAGACTAAAGTCGATCACTGTAAATAAACAATAATGCGTAATACTATGGTAGTACTTTGAAGTATATGTGAAGCATATACTTCGACATATCATTTGATTTCTCGATATGAAAAAAATTGTTAACATCGTTCAACAACCAGCTATTTCTACACATTCGCATCGACATGCATTGATGGAAATGCATGCGTGTTTTCAAGTAGCTGGTGCTTCCAACGTATCCAGTTTATGTTGGACTTCGTTAATTAAAATGTTTACTGAAAATGACTAAAACGCACCGATCTTTGCAGGAGAAACCCAGAGAGTGTTTTTTTCCTTTTTTCCCTCGTTGATGAACAATTTTGAACAAGGTAGCGATTGAAATCTTGAGGTTCCGTTTAAAAGTGGCATGATACGCTGCCTTTTGATATTTGGTGCTGTCGCACGTCCGTCAGATATTTCGAAATAATGGATTTTGTTTTCAATTTTTGTGAACAATTTTGAAGTTTGAACTCATTCAAGAACACATTTATTCTGTCAGAATAGCGACAGTTCAAAGCAATCTTATATGGGCTGTCAAATACCCAGCCTCTCAAATGCTCTAGTTACCGGAAAATTATCAGCTTTGGTAGAGAAACCAGCTCCGTCGCGATTCTCTTGATGTACGAAGAGCATCTAAGAAACATTGTCGTGTGCTTTCTGTTGCATTAATAGTTAATGTTTAGGGTAGAAAATATGATGATAGAACTAAAAAGAAATGAAGACTCTCCTACGTAATTATGTACTTTTTTTTTATCACCTCATGTCTCAAATGCGTATTCGCCGTTGTGATAAGATAGACTGAGGTAGTTGAAAGAGAACTGTGGAAGTTCGATTTGAGATAACTCCAAGGTGAATATGTTTCACTATTGAAGTCAGTCGATTAGTTATTACGTTTCGCTAAGACATTTGGAAACTTATAGCGGTTTTGGAAACATAGTTATGATGAAAACGAGGGGAGTATAGCTCAAGTGTAGAGAGCTCGCCTCGCATGCGAGAAATCTGGGGTTCGATTCCCCATACCTCCACACGTTTTGTGAATTGGGTTAGTGACAGAATCGGTATAACATATAGTTATGACGGCTTTATCCTTAAAGAAGTGATCTTGATTTTCCAAAGATGGACGGAGACTTCTGCTCCGACAGTTTAACCTTTGACATCTTCAGATTTAAGAATATAGTTCTCGCAACGTATAGATGCACGTTTTCAAGCAGCATTGTATAATTCTTACGATTAACCTATGCTGTCCAGCACTATCAGTTCCCGCTCACAGCATTTCACCAGTTTCGCCAGTTGTTTTAACTATGATTCTGCCATGGAAGTATCACTAAGCCGACAGAAAAGAAACTGAACTCTTGTTGGTCCGACTCCTAACAAAGTGGCTTTGAAAAAGATAAATTCGCCGGAACGTCAGCCACCGAATCACGACAACAAAAAACAACAACCACTAGTACTAACCTCGCATCAGCTCAACAAGGGCAGTTCGTCAGATGTGTATACACTTATCGATTACTTATGCCGATGATTATAAAAAGTCGGTTTTTGGTGTTATTACCAGATGTGCGAGCAAGATTAATTTTGTTGTCCGCCAGTAGACGTTGTTGTGGTTTTTGGGTCCGTTTCAATTCAGCAGGCTTCTGAGACTCACCAGCCGACTACCATTCTTATCGTTTGCTATTGAAGTGAGGAATTCACCTTTCATTACACGTTGCGATTTAATTATAGAACTGGTCGGTACAGTTCTTTGCAGGGAGCAAATTCGAAATCTCCAATCGTTGCCGCATTTGGTCATTTGAAGTCATGTTTCATTCAGTTGGAATTCTTAAATTTATGCGGTATACTAATGTGCGAAGATATAAAAACTGTCGTACATGTCGATGGTCGTCCAGTTCGTTAGCCGTTTTTTTTTTCGTAACTTGTCCTCTGTCTAGAAAAGTGAACCATATCTGAACTACCAGTGCTCCTGTACTATCTGGCCAAGTTCCGGACACCTTTCCAGTGCTTCTTTAGCTTGTGGCGAAGTAGCTAAGTAATGCGTTCGCTATAAAGTTAAAATGACAGAAAAAGCGTGAAAACATCTACAAAAGGTTTGGAATTCATGAGCATTTCTGAATATTTTAAGTGTCTGCATGACTCGCTTTCACATATATAGTGCGGATCCCAGCAATTGTTGCATTCCTGTTTGTTTCTTCGCGTCCATCGTGCACGAAGATCCTCGTATTCTCGTTCGAATTCGGCTACTACTGAAGGATTTTCAGTTTTCCCTATGAATGCCGTGATATTATATGTTGGTCATGTTGATTCTTCCTATCAGAATGCCTATCCTGTGGAAGAAGTTCCAATGTTCGCCTAGATCATATGGATTGGAGTGAGTTTCCAAGGTCCGTTATCTGATACCAGTTCTTCTAACACTGAAAGATAGAACACTTGTTTGGCTTAGGAATCGATTGAACCTGGACCTTGCCCCGTATTGAACGGCATCGTTTTCATTGTGATACCCGAGCCTCATTTCTTGGAAAAAAATATATATGTATATATATTATATATATATATAATCGCTATTTTACGGACGACTTAATAATTTCTTGAAATGAACAGCAGCTTTGCGTACAGAGTTATGGACTTTTAAATATACACATTTTTTGTGTGTTTTGTGAAATGATTCATGTCCGTCTCTTCGGACCACACCTACACTGATTTCTTTCCGGCGTACAGTATATATTGAAAAATGTATCCGAAAATGTTCTTTTGTGAATTGCCATGTGTACAAAATCGCTTCTACCAGACCACGTTTAGCAAAAAATCTGTCTTGCATAGGATATTGATTGAATACAAGTCATCACTGGTTGCGCAGCCTTCAGCGCAATCTCCATTTTTCCGGAGTTTTGCTAGTTTAGCCACTGTGGTTACCTGGAGTACCGACGTCAGCCTCGCCAAAGTCTGCTTCAGGTCGTCACCATCGTAGGCAGTCGCCGACCTTGTGAATGTGAGGGAGATTTGCCACAATACGACTCTGATACCAGAACGATGGTGGATCCTGGTATTGGTTTGCTCTTAGCTAGGCTTCCTGATGGAAGCGCCGGACTCCTTCTCAGCTTGATAAACGTTTCTGGGAGAATGAATCCCTAAGGCGGTAAACTGTTGGGAGGAAAAAAGTAGTGATTACATGTGTAAAATAAACTATGGCGAAACGAACGGTGTGAAAAATATGTGTTCGAATCATGAACTTACTTATATAGTAAGCAGGTAGAGAGAGAACTCTTATAATACATCATCATAGATGAAGAATGAATGAGCAAATCAAATTATCTGGATTGTATTGATAAAGAACCAAATGGAAATCTTTCGTTTACGTTAGGACGACGCCAGAAGTAATATTATACTTCCATCCAAATAGAGGTAGAGTCGTTAGCATTGTGTTTATAGGCTTTGTGTCAGGTTCATATGTGGATTCTTATCACTTCTTAGACTGGCATCTCTGTCCTAACCAATCTTCCTATCAATGCAGCTTTAAGGAGTAATGCCACGGATAACTACTATGGTCGTTTCCTTTTTGTAAATACGAGTGTGTCGAATTTTTTCACAGAACGAAGCCAACAAAAAAGCGATCTTTTAACTCTCAAATACAATCGGAGCTGTTTTTCTTGACAAGTGTTAATTTTTTGATCAGGGAAGAAGCTGAGAAGCTGAGAGTAGGCTTTGCAGTGACGATCTAAGCCTATTTACGTTTCTCAACATGTTATTTTATATCTGGAGATGTTTCGAATTTAAAGCTCCGGAAGAAAAAGTTGCGAAATTTTAACTTAAAGAATTTCTACCGGAAACTCGACAGTTGCAAACGTCAAAGAAAACAACGAGCTGAAATATACGCTTGCTGTCCCCATAAGGTGAGAATTTCATTGTGAGCAGGTAAGTTTAGCTGTAAGTGAGTAAGTTTTGGATAAGAAAAGCTCTTTGTTGCTGGCAAAGATGCGTAGGTCTAATAGTTATTTCAACCAACACAGTTAATTGAGGGCTGAGGTATGTTTGTTAAATGCTGGCAGGACCATTTATTTTCGAATGCATATGAATGGAAATAAATGCACCTCGGTCTTCAGTGTTAAAGTAGGTAAAATTTCTGGACTCGAGATTGTCCTCATCAAGGTCATTATACTACCTGATTTACTTGTAAGCCGACGGAATCGAGTATATAGGAGTTATCCATTTAACCGCTACGCGCTCGGTGGTCACGAACAGCATCAAGCCATTCCATGCACTTTTTTTTCCCAGCCTCGGCGATACCGTAACTATTAATAGTTCATCGAACTCTGCTGACAGAATGCTCTGTCCATCTCTACAGTTACGTTTTTTCATACAGTCATATTCTAGGTAAATAATTAACTGACCAGTGAAGTCTTCGCTCAGCAGTCGACTGTAAAATCCAATTATGATCATTTTTCAGATCGAAACAGTTCTCAACTATGGCTATTCAAGCGAACAATCAATGCGCTGAAGCTTACAGTAATCTCGGGAATGTCTTCAAAGAACGTGGAGAACTAGCTGAAGCACTTGAAAATTACAAATATGCAGTCAGATTGAAGGTATAGTGGTGATGTTAACTTTTTTTTTTTACTGTCTATTACAATTTTTCACGGCAGGGTATTATGTATGACACAACCACAATGATGCTGAGATATTTGCAAAACTCCGGACCACAGGTGTCTGCGGTGAGGAACGAGCGAGCTATTACCCTTTCCGGGGGCTAGCCCGTTCGCTACCACATAATGTAGGTCCTTCCTTTCGCCTGTCGCTCAAGTAGTTCTATCAACCAGTGCCCAAATCGGCGATGAACCCAATTAAACTGGGGCTGCAGTCAAAATCACATTGCTAACTTCTTATTTACTGCGTATTACAATTTTTGACAGCGGGCTTCATTAACGATTTGGACTCCGCAGATCAATCCCATTGACGAGTGGTTACTAATGGCACTGATCGATAGAACTAACTAAGAGACAGGTGAAACGAAGGACTCGCATCGTTTGATGGTGAACGCGTTAGCTCCCGGAAGGGATAATAGCGCGTTCATTCCATACCACAGACACCTGCGGTCCGTTTTGCAGTTTTGCAAATTTCTCAGCATCATTGTGGATGTATAGTGTTTGGTACTCCTTGTTACCAAGATTTAGGAAAGTTTATGACTTTATGAAGTTTGGTTACAAAATTATACTGCTGTCTTGGTCGAAGGTTTAGAATATCCATCATTCAGCCTGACTTCATTGATGGTTACATTAACTTGGCAGCTGCACTTGTGGCTGGAGGAGATCTAGATCAGGCTGTTGATGCTTACCTTAGTGCCCTTAATTATAATCCGGTTAGTATTTTTTTTTGCTGGTCGATTACAATAACGGACTCTTTGTCCTTTTCGAGCTGTCTTATTTCTTAAGTTACTTTTGGAAGGTTCGAGATTTCTTCCATTAATTCGTGATTGCTTTGTAGGAGCTATACTGCGTGCGTAGCGATTTGGGAAATTTATTGAAGGCTATGGGTCGATTGGAAGATGCGAAGGTATGTTTTGCTTGCTTCTTTGCAAGTACAGTGGTCCTAAGTATCATTAATGTTGTTAATTTAGATTTGCTATCTAAAAGCAATTGAGACTCAACCGCAGTTTGCGGTGGCATGGTCAAATCTTGGTTGTGTATTTAATGCTCAGGGTGAAATCTGGTTGGCGATTCATCATTTTGAGAAGGTTTGCTCTAACATTCGTTCTGTTTTTTAAAAAATGTTGTTGTTGAGTAAACGCGAGGTGCTGCTTACTGCAATCTACCCAGCCAAACACGTCCATAACCAAAGAGAGAAATTGCTATAGCTTTAGCTTAAAAGTTTAACACTTTCGCTGTTTGCTTGTGATGGTGCTTGACTGTGTGAAGGCGGATTTCGCCGGAACGTCAGCTTCATGGTAATAATGATGAAAATAACATTTCACGATTGCTCAACAGGAATATAAAGAATTATTTGATCAATGCCGAAGTTAATAGAAAATCGTTTGTGGGAGTTATTTTGTTTTGTTCACTCTTTATTGCTGATTATAGCTCATGGTTTCTGAGCGACATTCATTGCACTGAGTTGCTATTTTTAGGCTGTCCAACTTGATCCTAACTTTCTGGATGCTTACATTAATCTTGGTAATGTACTTAAGGAAGCAAGGATCTTTGATAGGTAGAGCACCTTCGATTTTAATGCTATGTTAGTGGTTGGGTTTTCCACTATAATTGTCTTCAACGTTTGTCAGAGCTGTCGCAGCATATTTACGGGCGTTGAATCTAGCTTCAAATCATGCTGTCGTTCACGGAAATCTTGCTTGTGTTTATTACGAACAGGGGTGAGTCCATGGAATATTCACTTTTGTCGAATGCCAACTTTGTAATCGTTTCATGGCTATATTTTAGTCTGATTGATCTAGCAATTGACACGTATCGACGTGCTATAGAATTGCAACCGAATTTCCCAGATGCATACTGCAATTTAGCGAATGCTCTTAAGGAGAAAGGGCTTGTGCAAGAGGCGGAAAATGCTTATATGACGGCTTTAGGGGTATGGATTCACTAGCTGTAGAGTGTTTCAATTTTTTTTTTTTTGACAAAGTCGTAGTTTGTTATAAAAACATCACGATTACGAAACTTAAGAGTTTTTTTTAACTTCATGTTGTTTTTGTGTTAGTTTTCTGCATTAGATTCTTTTCAGTTGTGTCCGACTCACGCTGACTCTCAGAATAATTTAGCCAACATTAAAAGAGAACAGGGAAAGATTGAAGAGGCTACAAGACTATATTTGAAAGCACTTGAGGTGAATTAAAATTTTAAACTAATATCTAATTGTTAGTATCTAGAGTGGACAGGCAAAGATTGAAGAGGCTACGGGGACACTTAACGTTTATTAGCTTCATCTACATTGTCAAATTCTTAAGACTTCGGCGTTGTTTAGTTTTATTTGGGTGCTCCATTGCGTTTATCTTCAGTACTTATGTTCACAGTGCTAATGAATGTGGATTTACTGGTCCAGTTTTCGCAGTTAATCAATTTCAAAACCAGTGTTTTATGCATTCTTCTTAGACCGTTCGGACTACTAGCTTTTGGGTAATTGCAGTAAAATCAAGAGACATATGGGATCGATGGTCTGAGACTCGAACTGGGTGCCCTGCACGTCTGACTTTGTGCCAGTTTTCAACATTAGTTCCCAAAGATGTTTTTTCTGATTTTTTTTTAGCACATTCATGATTTTATTTTTTGGTTACTGGTGAAAGTGTTTGGATAGCAATAACAATTGCGGGGTCGGGAACTTAACAAATTTATAAATTGTATTTTTCCTTGTCGCTCCAAAATTAAAAATTCTAATCGTACTTGAATAGGTCAGTTAATTTTATTCTTGAGCAGGTATATATTTGCTTGTCGCTAAAAGGCTGAACTATTTTTTTTTGCGGTTATGTACATGCGTTGTATTGTCACGAATGTTCCCACTCACAGATTTCTTGGAGCTATTTGTCATTTAAAGTTTCTGATTTCGTGTCTTCATTGTGATTTACCAATTCCCTTATGTGACTAGAGTTTCCCAATTTGGCTTGGCTTCCAGGAAAATCTAGGGGTATTGCAAAAACCAGCTTGGAATGACGTCATCTTCCCCCACACTTAATTATTTCTCTTCATCATAACATTCCAAAATTTATCGAAAATATAAGTCACGCGCAGTTTAGGGGAAAGCTATTTTCACAACAGAATTTTTAAAGTTCTCCTGTATAGGTCGTAACTTTTCTTTCCTCGCATTGTTTCCTACTATTGTACTTCATGTTTCTAGATATATCCAGAATTCGCGGCTGCACACAGTAATTTAGCGTCGATACTCCAGCAACAAGGGAAGCTCCAGGAAGCTATTCTGCATTATAAGGTATAGAATTCGCTTACATTTTTTTGTTTCATTTTATACCACCCATCTTCACATCTACTGTGCGGATCCCAGCACTTCTCACATTCGATTCGTTTCCTTGCATCCGTCATCCGCTAGGGTCTTAAAACTTTTATGTGTTGTTTCGGTTGCTACTTGAAGATTTCCGTTTTATCTTGAATATGATGGAATGCTGGTCGAGTCGATTCTTCCTGCACTCATGAGATAGCGGCCCCAGAGCGTTCCCATTTGGAATGCAAATAGTGCTTTTTCCCAAACAAGTCCGGGTACCAGTTTTTCGACTCGGGGTAGAACCAGCACTGTGCTCACGATGATCGACATCACTAGTACTGTGCTATCCACTCGCTCGAATTCGCTTGTAGATTTTTGTATATTAACTTCCCCTACCCGCCGCCGTTGGAGTATTTATTTTTAATGAAAACTTTTAAATGTGGGAAGTGTTCATTGGTTTTTCTAATCACTAAACAGTTTCTCATGTCTATTTGCTTTACAGTAAGTTATTAGCTGTACGTATACGCTACCCAAACTACTAGGTGAATTCGAAAATATTTTAACAGCGACTTTTGATTGCTGGGGTTCTGTTCAAACACGTCCTTGTTCTTTCCTTACTTTGTTCCTAATCTAGTATTCAAACTTTATTCAGATTACGAGCCGTTAGAATTTACACATTTTTGGCAACGAATTTTGTTCGTTCGCTAGCACAAAAATCTGAAATCCTTTAAGCGACGAGTCCTTCAGATGCATTTTCGGCAACGATGGTGAAGATTCCCCACACTGTTAGCTGTCAACATGCTTGAAGGGGAAAGTGGTAAGATGAGTATGTGGGTGAGGCAAGCATCGTGGGTCGGCTTGTTCAACTTCTCCAGTATTATTTGTGCAATGTGTGATCGAATGTTGTTGAACAAGAGGACTACATCTTTTCTATTGACCATTCTAATTGATTACATTGCAGTCATATTAGAATTTCGCTTAATCATGAGATTACTTCTCTTTTGCTGTCGTTTCTCCAGGAATTAGCTGAACCTTATTGGTTACCATGCAAGGTCCACTTTTTATTCTACATTAGGAGACAACTTTATGACGCTAATTCCCTTCAGTTAATTTGACCCCCATTCATGGAACGTTTCCATTTCTCAGATGTGTTTTAAACGAAAGATTGTTGAGCTGTGAACGTGGTTTTTCTGTATCCCCTCGATTAGTTTTAGAGAGGCAGCTTGGTTTCACTGCTTGAGAAGGTTGTTTTCATTTGCTAATATACGTTAAGCACCGTGAAAATTCACATCTACGATACAAATTCTTACGAACTGCCTATGCATTGTGCATTCGTAAGCCATTCCGTGAGACAGTGTTTTAATGGCATTTCGAGTGCTACCGTTCCTTTGTGATCAAGTTTGAACTCTTGAAGCAGTGATATTTTCATGCTTTGTAAGCGTTATTTCAGCTAAGCTAAGGTTGCAAATCAAGTTTTAGGAAAATTATTGCTGTGCGAATAACGCGGGTAGAGTATTGACAAAGGTGTCGTTCACTAATACGCGTAAGGGTCTGTTTCGACTCCTGTGGGGTTAATGGAGCCTCCTATCCCGTGGTCGTGAATTAGCTATCAGGCTTTCCTGAAGCTCTCCCCGATCAAAAGATGGTGGTTGCTTGTGGTGAAGATCTGGGAATACACGACAGTTTTACGATTCCAGGAAGAACGTACTGGAGCAGAATTTAAGGAGATTCGTAGAGAAGATAAAAATCCTTAAGCTCCAGCTAAATCCACGTGCGAATATACTTTCGTGGATGGTGGATACGAGGAAACGAATTGAATGATAAGTGATAGGATCCGCACAATGTGTGCTGTCGGGTCACGTACAAAGTGCAAGGCAAATAAGTGAACAATAAATGAATATGTTTCGCTCTATACGGCAACGACATGTGAAGTAAAAAGTCTCTAATACGTTACGTTCTTAAATTTCAATTGTCCCTTTTTACGACGAAACCTGATACAACACTTTTCTATCGGCAAAAATTTGTTAACGACGCCGTGTTAAAAGCGGATTTTTTCATCGTTTCTTCTAAATTGTCAACACAATACAAGTATATGTTAGCTTTGGCATTGGCTATGTTGAATGTAATTTCCTTCTACAGGAAGCAATTCGTATTGCTCCAACTTTTGCTGATGCGTACTCAAATATGGGGAACACCCTTAAAGAAATGGGTGATGCGGCCAATGCAATGCAATGCTATACACGTGCAATACAAATCAATCCTGCATTCGCTGATGCGCATTCGAATTTAGCTAGTATACACAAGGTAACGATCTTTTGAGCTATAGTAAACATTTTCTAGACGATAGAACTTCTGTACAATGCCATGCGTTTACATTTCGTTAAGGACTCCGGCAACATTCCTGATGCTATCCAGAGCTATTCTACTGCATTGAAACTAAAGCCTGACTTTCCGGATGCGTTTTGTAATCTTGCACATTGTTTACAAATTATATGCGACTGGACAGACTACGATAATCGGTACAGAATCTTTAGTGGTTTTTTTTGCATTATTTATTTACTTGGTTTTATCTACAATGTACTCAAGAGTGTTTACAGTATGAAACGTTTGGTAGCAATCGTTGATGATCAGCTGAATAAGAAGCGTTTGCCTTCAATACATCCTCATCACTCGATGCTCTATCCCCTAACACATCAAACAAGGATTGCTATTGCCGCTAAGCATGCACAGCTGTGTACGGAGAAGGTGATGATTTGTTGTCTTTATCCTGTTAATGACATTTTATGATGGGCTTGAGATTCATCAAGTTAAAAAGACCTTGACATTAATTCTTTATACTTCTGTTTAGCAAACACGGGGTGTTATTTCATTTCTTTATTTACGTAAAAGCTGACGTTTCGGCGGATTTCGCTTTCTTCAGAGCCTGGAAAGGTCAAGTTGGCTTCAATCTGCACGGCCAAACACCTCCATTACCAAACAAAGAAAACGCTAAACCAAGATTTCAATCACATTGAACACAGCTTTGCACACTCACTGCTTTTTATGAGTCTACCACTAAATATGTCACGTGTAGACCAACCACAGAGAGTCCACATGGAAGCGTAATATGCTCATCTCATCAGAATAACAGGCTTATATACTGCCCAATATAACGCGTGATAATGGGGCATTCCTCTCTGCGGTTCATTTTCGGATTCTTGGAATGAATCCAGAATGCCTCTAGAGTTTCGCGCGCTTGTGTTCTCGATTCTTGCGCGAGGCTCGTAAACCCTACTTCGAAATCTTCTCCGTTATGTCTCTGCGTCCTATGCGTGCCTAGAGGAGTATTTGGTTTATGTTTACCGACTAGGTGTTCTTTTATGCGGACGCAGAGTGGTCTGCCCGTTTCACCAACGTATTCGTCCTCGCACGCTTTATAAGAGATCGGATAGACTATACCCGAACTCATGCAGCCACCGTCTCTACCGTTGGGGCAAATTATGCAATTTTGCGTTGTACACAGATGGTCGTACAGGCGGTTACGAACTGGCTAGTGCCTTAGATTACTCGCTGGCATTTCAATTACCATTATCAAATTCTCTAGACCGGCCCTTATTAAACAACGTTTTATAGCTGAACTTACTTCATTTGAAATGAAGGGCAGGATAAACGGGACCTTATTGCCGCCAGAGTTATCGTCGGGGTACCTGTGGTTTCCTCTGCACCTATCCCGAGCTTCAGTTTCGTAGCCATTAAAAATGGGACTAAAAATGACATTAAATCGTCAGCGAACTTCTCAATGAAAATCTTTTCAATGTATTTTTGTTCTGAATAGTCCAATGGCAATCATAATCCAGTAGAGCGCCTTTTGTTTAATATAGTTTTCGCTTAAGGTTGCGATGTTGAGCCATCCACCTTTCAATTATCCGGATCGTTTGAGTGTACGTAACGGTACATCTCGTCTTCGGATCGGCTATGTTTCATCAGATTTCGGTAATCATCCAACTAGTCATCTTATGCAGTCGATTCCGGGCATGCATGATCGTAGTAAGGTCGAGGTATGTCTTGCATACTGTGAGGTGGTTTCTCTTTTGCATGTACGAGGAATATAGGTTTTTTGAGTTTTTGATATTCAGAGACAATTTTTATGTAAGCTAAATATCCCAGGTATTCTGTTATGCGTTGTCTGCCAATGATGGAACGAATTTCCGTCAGAAGCTTATGAATGAGGCAGAGCATTTTGTTGACTTGTCCCAGGTGAAATATTCATTCTGAACTTTGAATTGGTTTCCGAATTATTCTTCATGTGTTTATAGAATACATATCACATTTGTTCAGATAACATGCAATGGCAAGGCTGCTGATCGAATCAATCAGGATGGTATTCATATTCTTATAAACATGAATGGTTACACAAAAGGTGCTAGGAATGAAATTTTTGCCTTACGGCCAGCTCCGATCCAGGTTTGATATCTTTTTATTCATCTGTTTTGATATTAACACAAAACGAGTAGAATTGCTTTTCCCAAAGCTCTCAATCACTATATTTATTAATGAAACCGATTTAGTCAGTCACTATAGCGCTTATAAAATATTTTTAGTAAATTTTTTACAATTTATCACACAAACAAAGCAGCTACAAGTGCTTGGAACTACATTGTTCTGTAAGACGATATCTTGCTTATTTAATTGCTGTCGTCTTCGAAATAGAAAGTTTGAGAAAGGTGAAAAATTAGGTCTCGTGAAATCTAAAATGTGAATTGTTTTCTAATTCTTCTAATTCTTTTCTTCTTGACTAAATAGGAGATGTTCTTTCTTATATTTAAGGCTCTACTGATTCTTCTACTTTTCAGATGACATAAAGCGCTAGTTTTCCTAACAACTGCGTCTGATTTTCGTTAACTAGAGTACTTGGGAACTTGAAAATCTTATGGAAGAGGCTTCGTCTTTTCGCTGTAGATATTTAGCGAAAACGACAAGCAGGTATTGTTGAGTTGGGAAGAAAATGACACACTCCTCAAACTTGGGTAATTAGACCGTTTATACACGTAATATTCAGAGGAAAATGCAATGAGACGGCAAATGTATGTACAATATATTACAAGCAAGGTGGTTCAATGGGTACTAGTATACTTATTTGATACTTGAATGGCCCGTCCTCACTTGTTATGCGGGCTCCATCATAATCTCTATTTTTCGGAGATTTGCTGATTAATCCATTATGGTCTCTGGAATCCCGAGGTCAGCCTGGCCAAAATCTGCCTGCCCCAGGTTTTCACCACCACGGGCAGTCGCAGCCCTTGTGAATTAGAGGGAGATTTACCACCATGTGACTTTGATATCAGGACGGTGGTGGATCCTGGTATTGGCTTACTCTTAGCCAGGCTTCCTGATGGAAACGCCCGGCACTAGTATAATAATTAACAAATTGTCTCAGTAGTAAGCAGAGCATTATGCAGCACGTCTGTGAGGGCGTGAGAAGGAAGTAGGAAGTGTTATTCATGTAACAATACTACCATAACTACAACAGCGTGAGAATTTACGTTATCACAATGCAAGATTGTGATAGGGACAGCTAGATTGCTTTGGCAATGAGGAGAAAGTTTGTTTGATATCTGTGAACAACAATAGGGGTGCGTATGGCGCAGTGACTCTGCAACACAAACGTGGAATTGATCAAGCGCCTATGGTCCATTAAGCCTTCCATCCATCCGGGGTCGGCGAATTGGTACCGAACTTGTCTGGGAGGATAGCAGCACTGGCTCCACAGATCTGTAGGCCACCGCGAGTCATTGTAAAGGCCAGATATGCATTCGATCACTTGTAAACGATGCTTAATGACGTCGAATGCATGGCGCACCCCTCAGGGGTTCATCAACGCTGGAAGCTTTTCCTTCATCCTTTATCTGTGAATAATGAAAGTATTTGGGAAAATTGTCGTATTGACAACACGTATTTACATTGATGACTGACGATAACCTTAATGTGTTGATAATGTAGGAACATAAGACTTTAGTTAACATCACTTTGTCTAGCTGAATCTAAGGAGTTGCGGAAGAAATGATTAATTGGGAGAGCAAAATGATGATGGTCGGGTAAAGACGATCTGCATGCGTCATCAGAAGGTAATGGCAGTGTTAAGAGGCGTCGCCCCATCCAAGCGAGTGGCGTGACTCGCAAGGTCTGGTTTCTAAGCAATGAGCCGTGCCCGCTAGCATGTCTTGGTGGCATGCCTGATAGTTAAGTGTTGCCGTTTCTAATGGCATACCGATGGTTAAAACGGAATATTTATGTAGGGCAGGTAGTGGGGCGTTGTGACAAGTGTTTTATAATGCAGAAGGTTCATGAGAGTAATAAGTAGGGATACATTATTTATACGAAAGATGTTAAAACGGAAGATAGAGAATATTTCTCGAGGAATATCCACTGTAAGATATACAGATGATATTATAAGTTATTTCTTCACTTTTATACTTATTTAAAGTTCAAATTCGCAAGGAATTGATTATTAAACTTGTTGATCTAAAGTTTTTATCGCAAGCCAGGTAGCCGTAAGAGTAGAGACATTTTGAAGGGCACTACACTACTTTCTGTGAAATCCTTAGCGTCGCGTTTGTGATTGAAATACAAGCCTTTATGGAGTACAGCGCGAAAAAATGCCTTCACTGTGGTTCCAAGAGTTAGAATTTTCTCTTTATTGAATACGAGGATTTGCATGTTGTTGGCGCAGATTTGTAGCTTCTCATAGTCTCTATTTCGAAGAGTGAAGTTCGCTGTGAGCTGAGGTGCGTTTATTTAAAGTTGAAGGGTGAAGTGTTTTTGGCCAGGTGTGATTTTGTTCAATGCACACACTCCGTTATAGTTTAATAAAGTCCAAGGTATTTGTAAAGTCGAATATAAACTGATATATATTGGTTCAAAATTAAACGGGTCATTATTTTTGCACCAAATGCACTGTACTGAATGGATGTCAAGCGAGGTGTGGTAAAGGTTTTTAAATGTATAGTACTGATTCGTAAATGTGAAACTATGCATGCAAATTATTCTTTTATATTTCCCGCGTAAATTAAATGAACGTCTCATCATTCCGAGAAGGGGCTCAATTCTAATGTTTTGTAATTTTTGTTCATCATTTATGCTCTATGGTTATCTATGGAGCGGTAGCTTACCTAAATCGTTTACAGGTTATGTGGTTGGGATATCCTGGTACTTCAGGTGCCCCATTTATGGACTACATCATTACTGACGCTGTAACATCCCCTATGCGACTCGCACATGCTTATAGTGAAAAGGTTAGTTTCTGTTGTAGGCTTGCTGTTTTACCATGGATATTACTAAAACGTTGTCGTGGAAAAGTATTGGTGTGGGGTCGTACCGCTAACTGAAATTCAGTAATGCTGTAATTTCTTAACAAGTTCCATCATTTCTTAAACGTGTTTAGACAAAATCGGAAAAATCCTACGTTTCTTTCTCTTTCAGCTTGCTTATATGCCACATACTTTCTTTATCGGAGATCACGCGCAAATGTTAAAACATTTAACGGAGCGAGTAATTCTTAAGGTAGTGTTTTAGCCATTTCATTTAAACCGTGAATCTGTTGTGTACCGAATATTTGAGCTATGATCAAATTCTTAGAAACGTTGTGTTTTTATTACAAAAGAAGCTATACTTGACCGTTCGTAGGAATCAGTAATTACAGTGTTGCATCATTATCATCATCATCTATTTTTGCATAATTAAAGAAGTGAGAAATTAATTCATCGTCTGAATATACTTTTTAGGACAAATGTGCACCGGCTGAAAAGGACAATGTAACAGTTGTGAACGCTACTAACTTAGAACCTTTGTTGAGTAAAGCAGACGTTAAGGCATGCTTTATAGTTTTTTTTTTACCTAAGTTGCCTTTGCTTTCATCTATTTTTTAAAAAGCATTTTCCATTATGAGCATTATTTGTTGAACCTTCTGTGTCCCTTCTATCGACTATTTTAGCACACGGTACGAGAAACAGAAGTGATTTACGGCCCAGCAAAGGAAAAAATAAAAACCGAGGTCGTTGTCTCCGTGGTAGAGGTATGCTGTTCAAGTACCTCTTCTTAATTTACAGTAGCTCGAAGCTGATTTTTGATGTGAATAGGACAAATATTTTATGGGGTCATTATTCTTTTCGAACGAGATTGTGAAAGAGGATATTTTCAATTTTTAGGTTCCGACGACAGAGCCACTTAAACAGATGATCGGCGGTGGTTTGATTGCTAGTAGTGTTGTTGATGGTGTTCATGTGCATAACGGCTTGACACAAGTTCGTTTCAGTTTCATGTTTTTCCTTTGTTCGCTGTTTTCAAGATGCCGTTTGTGACGTTCCTGTTTTAGATCCAGATGCATCACAAAGCAGCTACTGGTGAGGAAGTACCGCAGTCGCTTTTGTTAACAAGTCGTCAGCAGTACAATCTCCCAGAAGACGCCATTGTGTTTTGCAATTTCAATCAGTTGTATAAGATCGATCCACCGACTTTAGATATGTGGATTGAAATACTGAAGCGGGTAAGTGGTTTTTTTTTTCGGAAATTCATGGACATTTGTAGAGAGACTATCTTTGCGTTTGTTTTTTACCTCAAATTTCGTTTTGCTGTTTAGACCATGTGCTTTTATCTACAAAATGTCTCAGATCTGCATCTCGCAATATCGCTATTGAAAAATTTTTCAGGTACCACATAGCGTCCTTTGGCTGCTTAGGTTTCCATTTCATGGTGAAGCGCATGTACATAAATATTGTGCGGACCGCGACATTGACGTGAAGCGAATAGTTTTCAGCCATGTTGCGGCAAAGGTATGTGATTTGTTTCATGATACATCTGTATTACTGAGAATTCAAGGCTAGCTGTGGGTGAATATTCTGCAGTTTATTAGTGTACATGCTTTTATCGGACTCGGATTCACGTTGGTAGTGATTACAAGACACATGGGCAATCTCATGATTTCACCTCGATTGCGTGGTGAGCAAGAGTTTTGTGCACAAGAAACGTCTCCCATATTGAAAATGATTTTAACCTTCCTGTGGATAGACCATGTTAAGAGCACGCGACTGACAGAAATCATTGCGGGCTAATATCAATCTACTCACAAGGTGCATGTCTCCCTCCAATTCGAAACGACCTGTCCTTTTTTGTGTTAACGGCCAGGGCCCCCTACAGCGGCCATTTCGGTATTCCGGCGGAGAAGTCTTGTCCAGCAAGCAAAGTACCACGGAAGTTGTCTCAAGACCTCAGTATTTCTGAACAAAGGTGTAGTTTTGAAGTGTCACTTTTCAAATAGTTATTTAATTGGCTGCTATCTTAAGCCGTGAACTAGTTTTTATTTGAATTGCAATTGTGTAAGTTTACTTCCCGTTCTAATTATAAGTAAAAAATTTGCCACTTTCTTTCATCAGGAGCCTGATGATTTTTTCATATTTTTCGTTAGTAGTTCCTTTCTCAAAAGTTATTTTCACTTATTCAGCTGTGATATTCAGGAGGAACACGTTAGACGGGGTCAACTCGCAGACGTATGTTTGGATACGCCACTGTGTAATGGGCATACGACTGGTATGGATATATTATGGACAGGAACTCCCATGGTAACCATGCCATGTATGTTTTCTTTCAAGGTTATATATATTTAATACAGTTTGTAAATTAAGACATGTAGACTGCGTGTTTTTACGTTTTTACCGCCCCATCATTGTATTGTGTGGTTGTTAAATAGAGCTAGAGATTAATTTTAGTGGAAACGTTGGCATCTCGTGTAGCTTCATCACAACTATATGCACTTGGAGTGCCAGAACTTGTGGCAAAAAGTCAAAAGGATTACGTTAACATCGCTGTGAAGCTTGGCACGGACAAGAACTAGTAAGTTATTTTGTGGGAGACTTTTGCGGCTGATGGTGGAAATGCGTTTTTCGTCGTAGTGGTAATCCATTAGCTGCTTTTTATTGTGTTAATCTATGGTGTGGAATGAGCAAACAGTGTTCTCGCCGTAAATCCGTCAGTGGACGAGGGAGAGATTTTGCTAGAAAGTCACCTCATCTGTTTCATCTGTTGTCCCATTGATTGTCGAGTGACAAGCGAGAAGCGCCAGTGAGTTTTATTTCTCCCTGTCGTGTGCAAGAATACCTCAGTGGGTTCTGCTCGCTCTAGGAACTCGTTGAGCGTCATACCCTTCTTCTAAGCTTTTTGTGAAGAACTCTGACCATCGGGTCGTTGGTCTTCCTGTAGTACGTTTGACATCTCGAGGAATCCACTCGTTAATGGTTCTTGTCTATCGGTTGTCGTTCATATGCATTACTGTCCGGCCCACCTTATTCTTCGACAGTTTGGCGTGTCGAACTACATCTTTGATTTTTGATCGTAAACGCAGATGGCAGCTTCGGATTCCTTTCCTTGCTTATGTAACACGGAATACTCCTACTGTCGTCCTTTCTACTGCACATTCAATAATGCTGAGTGGTCTTTCCTCCTGCCTACACAGCGACCAGGTTTCTGAAGCATACCTTTAAGGCGGGAGTGTCATGGAGTCGAAAAGGTGGACATGGAGTTGGGTTTTCTTTGTTCTGTTCACTACATTTTTGTTGCTCTTGAAAGCTCCCCAAGCCGCTGTTTTCCTTCTGTCCAACTCTGGAGCTAACTCGTTCATCATGTTGATTTCACGACCTAGACAACCGTAACTGGAGCATTCGAATATATTCATTCCATTGAGCGTGATTGGGGAATACGTAGCCAATACCTTCCTCATGGACATCGTTTTTGTGAGATATAATCGAAGACCGATCTTTACACAAGCTATATCAAAGTCAGTAAGCATTCATTCCGCTTGGCTAATGTTTGATGTTATTAGAATCATGTCATCAGCAAAGCAAACGTGGTGTAATTACCCCGACCATCGATTTTCACTCCCATGTTGTCCGATTCCAATGTTCGCATTACATTCTCAAGGGTGGCGACAAATAATTTTGGCAAGATGCTATCGCCTTGCATAACCCCTCTTCTGACCTCGGTTTTAATATCGTTGTAGAATGATGATATTTTGATAGTGAATTTTTTATACAGCTCATGAAGAATATTCATATACTGAGTAAGGACTCCCTAACTATCCAGTGCTTCCATGACTGCTCCAATCTCAACTGAGTGAAGAGCTTTCTTTGAATCGATGGAAGTGAGACACAACTGTCTTTTACACTCTTCCGATATTTCAATGAGTTTTTTCATCGCGTGGATGTTGTCCATCGTACTAAATCCTCTTCGAAACCCTGCTTGCTAACATGGCTGTCCTTCGTCTAGTGTTCTGTCAATCCTGTTTAGGATGACTCGAGTTGAAAGTTTGTAGACGACAGGCAGTAAACAGATTGGACGATAGTCATCCATATAGTGGAGGTCGCCGTTTTTAAACAATAACATGGTCTTCCTGGTCTTCACTGAGTAGGGACCTTGCATTCAGACAGCTGACGTATGAAGAGCCGAGCCATTGTGTTTACGATGGCTGGCGGAAGGTTCTTTAGGTGTTCGGATTTTATCCTTTGGGGGGACGTGTGCTGTTCGATTTTTCACCGATGAAATAGTATGTCGGATTTCGAAAGGGAGAACCACTGGTACGACATATACACCCTCCTTTATTTCATATGGGGCATGAGAACGTGGCTGTTGAAGAGATCTGTATAATAATCGTGAATAGTTTTCTCTATTGCTCTTCTGGACGCTGTAACTGTTCTTTCAGGGCGTCGGAGTGCAATATCTTGGTCTTATAATTGTCGAAGCTTCGGTTTGCTTTGCAAATGCTTTTCCCAGCCTCTGCAACTTCGAATATTACTGCTGCTCTTCTTTTTTTAAGATCTTCCTTTACCGCGTGTCCGCATTGTTTTGCAAGTTCGGACGTTAGTTCGCGGTCGCCTGCAGCCCGCGCGATTCCACGCTGGCGTATCAGCTCGACTGTTTCTAGAGACAGACGTCTCTTGGTGACTTTCGAACTCTCAGTTTTCATAGCGCTAACATGAAGATGTTGAGTGAGCCGATCGTATTTTTCGTCGATGTTATCGACAACGGCGGCTTCCCAACAGCCGACTAATGAATTGAGTAGGTCCCAGTTTATGGTGGTTCTGGGAATTCGGTTTTGGAATTTAGCGGCTTTTTTTCCTTTCCGCGAGAAATAGAATCTTACACGAAGGAGACGGTGGTCTGATCCCGTGTAGAATTTTGGGACAACAGCGACATCGGTTAGCCAAAACCTTCTAGTTACTATGATGTGGACTACTTCGTTATGGTACTCTCCATTAGGAGACCCCACGTCCAACGCTGAGGGTGGGGCTTCTGGAATTGCGAGCTACCATGGATGGTCTTGGTCGCCATGACATACTCAGAAAGCCGTTCATTCACCCTGTTCGTTGTAGTCCATGGGTCCCAATGTGACGTTGTTCAGACGTTCTTCTTGGTCCAATCTTGGCGTTGAAATCTCCCATGATGACATTGAAGAATGTATGGTCTTCCCTGTAGAGCTTCTCTAAGTCCATATAGAACGCTTCGACTTCCTCTTCGTTATTGTTTGATGTCGGCGCGTAAACGACGAAGATTGTCAAAGCCGATATTGATCCATATCTTTTTATTCGTAAACGTCCGATTCGGCTTGTAAGCTGTTCGAATGAATCGATGTTCATGGAAAAACTCGTGTTGACGAGAACGCCGACGCCGCCGACTTCTCTACTGTCGCATGTTCCGAGAAACAGTTCTTCTCCGGTGTCATAGGGAGCGTTGAATGGGTGGCGTCATCTCGTCTCGGCCAGGCCGATGACGTCGTACCTTATCCTTCTTGCCCACATGAGCAAGTCCTCTATCGAGGAATTGGATGCAAGTGTACGTGCATCGAAGGTACAGATCGTCACCGTAGTTCTTTGTAATCCAGGCAGCTTCCATTGGCCCTGAGATTTTAGCAGCCTCTCCGTACTCGTTCTACCCAACTCTGCAAGATTGGAGTCTCCTTCGGGGTCACGGAATAAGGTCCTTTTTTTTTACTGTGTTTAGGATTTCGATACCCACGTACAGCTTGCTGGGTTCTGAACGTGGAGGCTGGGTATACTCACGGGTAGCTTTCCTGGCGGTTCCAGAGTGGGCATGGAGCTTATTTGTTGGAGGCGACTCCTAACCGCCTCCCATATGCTTCCCAGTCATTTGATTGCAGGGTTTTGGCCGAATTGACTGGTAGAATACAATCCGCATAAGCGAGAATGCATTCACACACGCATGCATGAAAACGCCTCGTAAATACAGAAAATATGTGCCAAATAAGCGCAGCAGAAGCAGCGAGTCCATCCACTGGATCCACCTGCGTCTCAGGGAAGCGAAGGTCGCTTTTGTTGCGCGGTTAATCGCCTATCCTCCACCTGGGGACGCGCCACGTAGCCTCGCGACTAGTCTGCTAGAGATCCCTCCTCATATGAGGCAGATGCGTGGTTCGATTTGATTAGAACAAGAATTTTCAGCGGCTACTCTAGAAACCCTTTACCTGTTCTGTATCAGTGTCACTGGATTCTAGTGTGTTCCCTCTGGGCGTCCGAATGCAATCGTCATGGGTTTGTAATTGGCAAAGGTTCGGTATGCTTTGCGAATGCTTTTCCGAGCCTCTACCGCCTTGACCATCACGGCTGCCGCAGTGTTTTGCAAGTTAGGACGTGAGTTGGGGGTTGCCTGGAGCTCGTGCAATTCCACGCTAGCGTATCAGCTCGAGAGGTTCCAGTGGCAGACGTCTCTTGGTGACCTTCGATTTCTCAGCTTTCATAGCGACAACGTGAAGATGCCGAATAAGTCGGTCCTATTCCTTGTCAGTGTTATCAGGAACCACTTCTTTCTAACAGCCGACTAATGAACTTAATAAATCCCAGTTTTGGTGGTCTTGGGAATCCGTTTTTTGAATTTAATGGGTTCTTCTTCTTTCCGCATGAAACGAGATCTTGCACGAAGTAGGCGATGGTCCGATTCCGTGTAGAATTTTGGGACAACAGCGGCATCGGTTAGGCAGAATTTTCGATTTGCTATTATGTGACTTATTTCATTGTGGTATTCTCCATAGGGATACTTCACGTTCAGCGTTGAGGGTGAAACTTTTGGAATTCCATGTTACCATGGATGCTCTTAGTCGTCATGATAAACTCAGACGGCCGCTGAACCTGGTCATTCCATTTTAATCAATGGGTCCCAATGTGACGTTCTTCAGATATTCTTTTGGGTCCATTCTTAGCGTTAAAGTCTCCAGTGATGACATTAAAGAATGTGTGGCGTTATCTATAGTTCTCCAAGCCCATGTAGAACACTTTGGCTTCTTCGTCAAGTGGAATGGAAATAGAAGGCAATAATCGTTAGGTTGGTTCACGTGCATAGTTCTCACAATGTAGAAGAGTAAAAAATGGAGTAAAAAGTAGTAAAGAGGAAGTAATGAAAACGTAGTAAAAAGTGTAGTACAAAAAGTGCTTGATCCAGATATTTTTGCAGTGATTGGAATATCTGCCGACGTCGGTCAGAATTGTAAGGTTCTTGAAAATTAGTGACTTCGCTAACACATTCAATTTTAGCTTGTCAGCAATCCGCGCAAAAGTATGGAAGGCTCGAACAACATCTACATTGTTCAACGTCAAGCAGTACTGCATGGATATGGAATCTTTACTTCACATCATGTGGAGACGTTATGAGGAAGGCCGTCCTGTAGACCATATCACCCAAGGGGCAAGCCAAATAGATTTCTAACCAGAGAAGGGAATATTGTCCCGAGATCAATATCGATTGTATAACCCTTCATTTTTATGACGTTCACATTCCGCGTGTTATTCTGAGAAGAGCTCATTCGCTAAGTGCTGGAGCTGGCGCTGTCGTAGTTATAAACAATGTATAGGATTTTTTTTCTCGTTTCGCTTACTGTTGCAGTGATGACTTTCTTTAGAAATCACAATGTCGCGGTTATCTAAGGTGTTAGTGAACATACTTCGCTAGGTTTTTTTTTCCTTTCGAGCAATTCGTTTTCGTTTCGAAGAACAAATAGAAAAATGCCGACTAACATTTTTGACCGAGACATTGTGTGGGATTGTTTGGCCTTTGTGAGGCTGCTTGGGAGATCTATCATTTAAAGTCTAGAGGAATATGTTTATCTTATTTCTTTATGACTTTGCTATTTTGTTACCGTTTTCCGTTGTTCTTTACATTTCTGGGAAGGACCGTTGTTGGAAGTTTACCTTGTCGAGGTGGGTCAAGTGAAACATACAATCTCGGATCTAATGGATATGGCAATTGTCATCAGTGCTGGTGACATCGCTGAGTTATGAAGGGGGAAAGTGTATTGATCCTGTGAAATATCTGAAAATAAAATAGTTGACTGTCGCGTAGAACATTCCTTGAATGTTTCAATTATTGTGCCGAGCATTATAAAAAGAAGAGAATGCTCTCGATTTTTTCGAGTAAGAAGATAAGATTGGAATAATAAATATTCAGTAATATCGTTTTATATTTTCTTATATGATGGAAACGGTGATATACATTCTTCTGATGCTTGAAAGCTAACGTAGAGGTGTATGAAATCAAGCTGTTGAGAGGGTGAACGATGTCTGAAAGGAGCTTTTGGTTTATGTGACCTGTTTTATTCAGTCATCGATCTACAAGTTAGCTATCATGGTGAATAGCGTTGGTTCACGTCACCGTGGTGCCAACTATCTAGATCTGTTGTCCATTTAAGGTTTCTTAATTTTCCTGTAAAATCACGCCAATTGTGTTGTAGAAGTGCCGTAGTTGATAGGTATGTGGATTTAAATTCGGCCAGAAGTTTATATCTGAATGTGGTCTGTGTAGGAGTCAGAGTCGAACCCAGTGAAGTTATAGTGTGTGGTTGTGAGACTTAATGAAATCTTTATCATTCAAAGGCAGGTGTGGCATTAAATACTACCACCTAATTTCATCGTTTCCCACGTTTCTGATTTATATGCCGAATGTTTCATACATTCTAGCAACTGGACGCAGCAAAAATGTGTACCATAGGGCCTGTCTGTCTATAGTCTGTCTACAGGTTGCTAACTTTATGGAGTTGTTTAGTAACAATAGCATTTCATCACTTTTTGAATCGCCCGACTTCGCATGTTGCGTAGATGCGGCACTTCTTTCACTTGGTTCGTAATCTCGCACTCGACATCGATGAAGGTCTTCGTACTTGGTTGCCAATTTCGAATCCTGTCTTCTTCATAGATGTCGATGTGAATGACTTGATTGTCTCTGTAGTTCTGGGATAGGTCTGCCAGAGCGTTCTCAGGTCGTCAGCACAGGGAAGCTTTGCTAGAGAAGCTAGAGAGATGGGAGACTTTCCACGGTGTGCTTCCCGCGCCTTAACAAGCTGCTGTTTTTATTCTTATGTGATTTAATGCCTTAGCGTGATATAACAACCGGATGATAGCGATCCTCTGCCAATGAGGCATCTGCAGGCGGTTATTCGTGAGGCCACGTGACGCGTCTTCAAATGTTGAGGTGGAAAAGCAAATTCTTACTTTCATTGTGACGCTTAAGACAACGGAAATCGTGTTTCTGCTATTACAGATTTATTTATGAGTGAATAGTGTCGTTGAGCTCTGCCCACCAACTCGTCCAAGTGATCAGAGCGAATCACATTCTTATCCGTTGAAAGGAGTGGTTCTTGGTGATATTTCCAGAAATTCGCTGAAGATTTCAATGTTAGTATAGAAAGACACTTGAAGAGGAATACCTTGTCAGGAGGTTTGGTCTAATATTTATTTATATGATCTTATAAACTGATCTTCTTTAGCTGATGCGAGGTTGGTATAGGTCTTCGTTGTCGTTGTGGTTGCTGTTGGTGTTGTTGGTCGATGGCTGACGTTTCGGCGATCTCGCTTCTTCAGAGTCTGGACGTATTTTATATAAGAATACTTTAATTATTCGGCGGAAAAAGCTAAAGTATTAATGAAGATCAAACTTTTAAATAGACAATAAATATTGAACGGAAAATCTACTCACCGTGATGTTACGAGTGGGACTAACCCACGCTTTGTTTACGTGGGTTCGCGAGCGATGCACACCCCGGAGTCAAAATATCATTTTGAAATAGGGCGCCAGGCCACGTGTGATAGTGAGGCATTCGTCTTTCCCGTTCATTTTTGAATTTTTGAAATTTATCCGAAACGCCTCAAGAGAGACCCGTTGATGTTTTCGATTTCTGCCCTAAGATCCGCACATTCACTTTTTCAAAATCATCGCCGTTGTGCTTTTGTGCCCTATGCGTACCTAGAGGGGTGTTTAAGCGGATTTTAGCTTTTCCATCTAGATGTTCTTTTATGCGGACACAAAGCGGTCTACCCGTTTCCCCGATATATTCCTCGCCGCATGTGTTACATGAGATCACGTATATTATACCTGAACTCGTGCAATCCCCTTCTCTCCCACTAGGACAGATCATACAGTTTTCTGAGTTGCAGGAGCGATCATAGTATCGATATCGATGAAACGAATCGATAGAGGGGGTTGCGAACTAACTGACTGCATAGGGTATTGGATGAGAAGCCAGTAATCGCCACATAATTTTCAAAACCGCTCTTTCTTAAGTATCTTGAAAGGAATCCTTTTTAGATTTGGAACTTTATTTTGGAGAGTAACTCCACTTTTTGGTTTGACCCAAGTGGCGTCTGCTTCGTAGCCCACTGGAAATAGCTACTTTTCGCGCCAGGTTTAGCGGTTTTTTCCTTTCCCCTTCTCATGTGCTCACATTTTCAGCCATTTGGTACGTTTTTGATGAGTGCTTTTTACATGTGTGAAGGATGAGAGGAGAGGTAGTGAACTAGTACATTTTTACTACTAGGCTTACGATACCATTTTGTTATATAGCCACTTTCTTAGACCTTTATTTGGATGTTTAAGAATGGAAGCCAATTTTTGGTTGGTTTTTCTCGTGTAAATTTTACATACTGTGAGTGTCGGTTTAACAATTCAAAGCACTCATTCATCTGTTCTTGTGTGGAACAGACGATGAAGCAGTCGTCTGTGTATCGACAGTAGCAATGCAAACCATTCTCGAATTGCTAGTAGAGCACAAAAAGAAAGTAAAAATCTACGGCTTGTCGATTGCTCAACTAATGACTCTCTTAGGACAGTGTCTTAGTTGCTCAATCTTTAGGTGGTCTGGAAAATATTTTGCACAAATTAGAGGGTTGGCCATGGGAGAGCGATTAGCACCAAGCCTTGCCATCGTTTCCATTTCTAAGGTGGAAGCTGCAGTTCTGGGTCGCCGACCTTTACTCTAATGTCGATACATAGACGACTCCTTCATCGCATGTTCCACACAAGAACAGATGGATGAGTGCCTTGAGTTGCTAAACCGGCAGTTTGAGCAGTCGAAAACCGGCTTCCATTCTTAAACATTGAAGTAAAGCTCTCAGTAAGTGGCTATGTAACAAAATGGTATCGCAAGCCAAGTAGTAAAAACATTCTAGTTCACTGCCTCTCCTCTCATCCTTCACACATGAAAAAAGCACTTATCAAAAATATGTATCGTACGGCTAAAAATGTGTGCACAGGAGAAGAGGAAAGGAAGGAATCGCTAAACCTGGCACGAAAAATGGCCATTTCCAATGCCTACGAAGTAGAAGCCAATCGGATTAGACAAAAACGTTGGGTAATTCCCCAAAATAATGTTTGGGACGTAAGGAAGATCCGTTTTAAGCTACCCTTCATAACGAATGAAGTAGGTCATGCCATTAAATAGTGCTTAAGAAAAAGTGGTCTTGAAAATTATGTAACGATTACTGATACCCATCCAATACCCTACGCCATCAGCTAGTTCGAAACCGTCTCTATGATCGCTTGTGCAGCTCAGAAAACTGTATGACCTGTCCTAATAGGAGAGACGGGGATTGTATGAGTTCAGGTATAATATACTTGATCTCATGCAATGCATGCGGCGAGGAATATATTGGGGAAACGGGTAGACCACTTTGTGTTCGCATAAAAGAAGACCTAGATGGGAAAGTCAAAACTCGTTAAAGCACACCTCTAGGTACGCACAGGGCACAGAAGCACAATGGCGATGATGTGACTGTGCGGATCCTAGCGTAGGAATCGAAAACATCAACGCGCAAAACTGTTGAGGCGTTTTGGATCACCTGTATCACCTGCAGTCCCGTTGATCGTCGAGTGACTCGAGCGGGCGCCAGTGAATCCATTTTCCCCTGTCGCCTGCAAGAGTAGCCCAGTGGGTTCTGCTCGCTCCAGGGATCCATCGAGCGTCATTCAAGACTCTGTAAAGAACTTTGACCATCGGGTCGGTGGTCTTCCCGCAGTACGTTTGACATCCCGAGGAATCCAGTCGCTAACGGCTGTTGTCCATCGGTTGTCATTCATACGCATTACGTTTCCAGCCCATTTTATCTTCGACTATTTGGCGCACGGAACGGCATCTTTGATTTTGAATCGTTGACGCAGGTCGGAGCTTCTGATCCCATCCCTTAGTTGTGTGGAATGGGATACTCCTAGCGTCGTCCTTTCGACTGCGCGTTCGATAACGCTGAGTGGTCTTTCATCCTGCTTACCCATCGACCAGGTTTCTGACGCATACGTTAGGGCAGGGAGGACTGGTGAAACGAAAAGGTGGGCACGGAGTCGGGTGTTCTTTGTCCTCTTCACTACATCCTCGATGCTCTTGAAAGCTTTTAAAGCCGCTCGTTTCCTTCTGCTCAGCTCTGGAGCTACGTCGTTCATCATATCGATTTCCCAACCTAGGTAGACATAACTAGTGCATTCGGAGGTATTCGTCCCGTTGAGCGTGTGTGGGGCATACGAAACCAATGCGTTCCTCATGAACATCGTTTTTGTGAGAATTAGTCGAAGACGAATCTTTCCACAGGCTTTATCAAAATCGTCTAGCATACGTTACGCTTGGCCAATGTTTGGTGTTATTAGGGCGATGTCATCAGCAAAGTGAAGATGGCGTAACTGCCAATCGTCGATTTTCATTCCCATATTATCCCATTCCAATGTTTGCATGACGTTCTGGAGTGTGGCGGTAAACAATTTTGGCGAGATGGAACCGCCTTGCCTAACTCCTCTTTTGACGTCAATGTTAATATCGTTGTAGAATAGTGATACCTTGGTTGTGAAATCTTTGTACAGCTCACGAAGGATTTTGATGTACTGAGTAGGGACTCCTTGACGATCTTCTCCTGAAATGAACCATTACATTTAGCGTTTTCTCAATGAGCAAATACAAGGTTGTTACTGTATTCTTTGTTGACAAAAAAGCTGACGTTTCTCCGGATTTCCCTTTCTTCGAAGGAGTTCCGACTTAAATCTTGGTTTAGTATTCTCTTTACCTTGGTAATGAGGGCGTTTGGCGGGATAGATTGCAGTCAACTTGACCTTTCCAGGCTCTGAAGAAAGTAATAGCCTCGTGTTTACTCACAGAAAATGCAGTGAATTACTCGGTTGATTCCTATGTTAATAAAAAGTTGGTCTTGGGATTTACTACTTTCCATTTTCTTACATGCTTACTTAGATAGCCTGTCTTTACTGGTTGTGCGGTTCGCAACATTATTTCCATTGTTTCGGAGTGCAGGTTTAGCCACTGTGGTACCCTGGAGTGCAGCGGTGAGCCAGGCCAAAATTTGCCCCAATTCGTCATCACCACAGGCGGTCGCTGCCTTTGTGGATCAGAGGGAGATTTGCCATCATGCGACTAGTTTAATACCAGGACGGTGATGGATCCCGTTATTGGTTTACTTTTATCTGAGCTTCCCAATGGAAACGCCGGACTCCTTCTCAGCTTGGAAAGCCCTGCTGTGTGGATGAATCCAACCGCTGTACATCGCAGCTCGACATTCACGAACATCTCCCGGCCACGATGAGGCGGTAGACCGTTGTGAGGACATTCGACTTACTTTCACAAATTGGCCGGCATTCATTCTGCTTGGCTAAAATCGAGAAAGCGATACTAAAGTACCCGCGTAACGTAAGTAAATAAGTTAATCCGGAGTTTTGATCAACGTTGACGATCAAAGATGTGATGTACGACCATATACACCAAGGTGTCAAAATTCGTATGAATCGGACACAGTGGTGCGTCTTATCGATAACTGTTAGAGATGAGTCGTTAGCGGCTTCCTTCCACGGGATGTTAAGCCAACAGTGAAGATCTAGACAACAGAGAGAGGGTCTGGACAAAAATATGTTGTTTTTCGTGTTCGTGCTTCAAGCGAATAGGGCTTACTTAAAGAAATGGTCAATTTATTTATAGCGACTCCGAGTCTCCTTGTTTCTTTGTGGAATTTTTGATTGCCTATGAAATTAGATTCGCGGAATTGACAGCTTTAACCAGAAAGCAGTTCTGATTTAGAAAACAGTTTCGTCTTAGATGTATCGACATTGATGTGTAGCTACAGTATAATTTGAACATTCCTTTTCCAGTGAAGTCTATTTTTTCTCGTCGGAATGTCTTTCGATTCTCTGCTTGAAACGTGCATATTTAACTCTAGTAGTTTGCAACAGTGTTATCTGAAGTACTTCAATTGGATAGTACAGGTACTGTATCATTTGCATCCTTTGAATATTCTTCAGAAAACTTCAATTTTATGGATTCTTCTCATGAGGGGTACTACAGATCTAATGAATTTTGAACTGTAAGCTCGTTTCGAGCTTTTTTTTAATACGCTGTGAGAGTATTTGTGAATCTGTAGAGTCAAGGTAAAATAGTTCGGGTGGAACTGCAACGAGGCAGAATGCAGGATGATGGTTAATTTACAACATGAAGAGGTATATAAGAACTATGGAGGGCAAAAAATGCAGTGGTTAGGGATAAGCGTCAGTTTCTTGGTTTGGAAATTGCTAACGGGGTTCAATGACGGAGCTTTCCTCCGATCAACAACGGCTGACGATTTCTTGTATTGAAGCTTTGAAATGCTTGAGAAAAGTCCTCGCAGGATTTTAAGCAGCATCATTTCGACAGCATTCTACAGCATTCATGTAGCGAAGTATACCAACTGAACTCAGGTACAAATCCGAAAACCTTCATGAATGCCGGGCAGGAAGATAAGCCTATTGAACAAAAAGCTGTGATTTGCCCGATATACGTAGGCAAATCATACAAATGAACAGATAAAAAAATATGACAGCTTACGTTGGTATGATCATTGAGTACTGTCAAGCACTCGATTTTTTATTGTTTCAGGTAGTTTGCTTTCAAAACGTCTGCGTTTATGTGGAGTCGAAACGGGTTTATGTGCTTCGTGTTTGGGACGGTCATGAAATCACGTGAATTTTTATTTCAGACCAAACATAGTTTTCTTTTTTGTAGGGTTCTTCTCTTCTTTATTCTAGTTGTTCTCTCAACTATATTTCTACTTAAGGGGGCGGATAGCACAGTGGTGGTGATGTCTGTCATCACGAGCATGGTGCTAGTTCGATTTCGCTCCGGGCCAACCAAGCCTCTCATCGAGGGTCGGGAAATTGGTACCGGACTTGTCTGGGAAAAAGTCACTCTCTGCAATCCAATTGGGAACACTCCAGCCCGGCTATCTCAGGAGTCCAGGGAGAATTGCTCGACCAGCATTCTACGATATTCAAGATGAAATGAAAATCTTCAGGCACCCCGAAGCCACACGGTAAAGTTGGAAGATCTTCGTGAACAGTGGATGCGAGAAACGAATCGAATGTGAGAAGTGCTGAGATTCGCAGAGTAGATGTGAAGACGAGCCATATAAAACAATAAAACGATAAAAAAATATTTCTATTTGGACTTTCTTTATAAGAAATAAGAAAGGAAGGAAGGAAGAAATAATTCTATTAGGCCAGAGCTTAAACACTTTTGCCGATTTCGCTTGGATGACGCGGAGATAGTCTTTCCACCAGCAGAATGTTTTAATGGAATTCCTGAGTCTTATTTCATCGATGTCCTAGTTTTTGGGGAATGGATAACGCGAGCTTCAACTCTTAAGGTAAACTCGACTGTTTCCTCACTACATCGCGAATGTGATCTAAAAAACACTTTTTTTAGAGTGGTTCTATTGTCGTGTTAAAAAACGTGCATTCATATATGGGTGGTAATTATAAGGTACCCATTCTCACCTTACACGAAGGTAGATCTCATGGACGTGATATCGTAGAGATTCCGTCGACTATTGTTGATCGACACTATCGCATCGTCAAACTTCGAAAGTAATTATTGTTCTTATTTCTGGTTAATGAATAGGTAACTTTTCCTCTGATTTCTGTAATCTGTCACAAAGCACAAATGCAATTTTACTTTTGAGGGCATAATGTCATGAGTTTAGTGACATCGATGAAGTTATTCTGACACACCATAAAGGACCAGTCGATGGAGCTTCGCATAGTTCTTCTACTACAGAACGTTCGACTTTGGTAGAGCAGAATGAAGAACGCATCGGAAGCGAACAATCAGGAGCTGAAAATGTTTGATCGTCATCAACTGAGAGCAGGTCGACTGAAAGAAGAGGTAACAGTTAACTAGTAATAACGAAGACGTTAATTAACACTTTCCGTTGTATGATTTCCTGTCGTCGATCTTCTTTAAGTATTCATCCGATTTTGTGAATTGTATATGATCTTGCTAGACATCGAGATGTGAAGTACTTCAAAATCTCGAGCTTCTTTTTCATTGGCGCGGGTTTCGCCATCACTTTGCACTACTCAATAAGTTATTTCTTTGCGGCTGCTTTACTGAACGCTTTCACTACTCCAGAATCTTCTATTTCAATATGTAGTTTGAAACCGAAATAAAGTTTTAGATTCGTGGCATAATTGATTGTTCTCAGTGATTGTTATAATTTATGAGCTACACATAGCTCAATGTGTATTAGTCTATGACTCACAGAACTTTGTAGTACTTCATTATTCGGTTTTACCATTGAGTGAGGCCTTGTTTAATACAGTGGCTGGAACCGTTCTGCCATACATACTAGATAAGTTGATGATTCGATCGCATATTCCTGGCAAATCAGATCGTTCATCGCTCAGACAACTTTTTGCCAGACTTGTTTGGGAGCGTAAAAGCATTAACCTGGTGTTTTGGTGGGCCAACTAAGGTTAATGAATTGGCCAGATATTCATTGAATCACCTCTAGAATGCCACGAATAGAGTCGAATGCATGGCACATACTACAAGGATTGATCGGCGCAGAACGTTTCTACGTTGTCTGTTCGCGTTCTAGCTTCTTAGGATTGGTTCGCTGTAGTGTTATATTGATATTAGTGTAGTGGATCAGAGCTTCCTTGGCCCATTTGTCTATAAATTTCACTAGTTCGCTTCTATTCACTAAATTTAGGAAATTCTTGAACATTCAAATATCCATTTTATCGTTGCGTGAGACACCTTTGACCTTCGAAATAATCACACTAATATGCGGCGACATGTTTTGGAAGTAATTCGTCATCCGGACCGCAGGTGTATGCGCTGGGGAACGAACGCACTATTGCCCTTACCGGGGAGTAGCGCACTTCACCAGCACACCATCCGGTTCCTTCGTTTTGCCTGTCTCTCAGCTAGTTCTATTGATCTTTTGCCATCAGCAATCACCCGTCAACGGGATTGATCTGGGGAGCCCAAATCGGCATTGAACCAGTTAAGCTGAGGATTAGTTATAATCACAATCTTAACCCTTTTATTTATTGCCTTTTCTTTTTAATCGCAGGGTATGTTGCGAAATATAACTCGTATATGATGCTGAGATATTTGCAAAACTGGCTGAGAGACAGGCAAAACGAAGGGCCTGGATAGTGTGGTGGTGAAGTGCGCTGCTCCCCGGCAAGGACAACAGCGCGTGTTCGTTCCCCACCGCATACACCTGCGGTCCGGAGTTTTGCAAATATCTCAGCATTATATACGAGTTATATTTCTCAAC